TGGTGTTCCAATGTTGTGGTATAATTCAGGTATTTTTTTTTGTTTTTATACTAAAACATGGTATTTTTGATTATATTAATTATATTTTGCATTTTTATCAATTTTTGGATGAACAGCTGGAACTTCTGGTACTTAAACTCGTGTTACTGCCGGTTACAGCAGTGATAGTTTTTAAATAAAAATAAAATAGCGAATTTAATAATGTTTAGTTAAGAAGTAAAAATGCTATTTTTTCTTAAAAAAAAAACAAGTTTTCTATACTTATAAATCCAAAATATTAAACATTGCTTTCGAATATCACCTAGGGTATATTTTACAACAAACGGATACCTTCAAAAATAGTAACAATTTTTTGATAGCGTCCTCTTCTGAGGGTCTTTGGTAAAAATTAACATCACAAATGGATTCCTCGATCAAATTGACAAAATTATTTTGAATAATTAACATAGTTTTACTTATGTTTTTCCTATAGGGTGTCAAAAAATTTACCATCTTTAAATGCGTACAAAAAAAAACTGAGACGTGATATAAAAAAACCCTGATAGGGTTTTCTTGTGGAAAGTATTAACTTTTATTTGCTTTTGGTTTTATTCCATTCCCTTTCGCAAACCTTAATTTTGTATCACAGTGTTATTAATGATGCTTGAATCCGCTGCAAAATATCCCCTTAAATGCAGTCGGCACTGTTTGCGTAAAAAAAACAATTTTTACCTCTACAAGGGCACTACCAAATAAATCAATTCCTTAGACATTCTAAGGATTATGCAAAAAATTACGAATTTCGATGATGACCTCCGGATGTCAGCTATTCAAATTTGTTTAAATTAAGTTGATTTAATTGATTATTAATTAAATTTTTATGAGTGTTTTTGTTAATAAATTGGGGTCTCTAAACTCTGTGAAACACTCTTTGGGGTAGCACAGAAAAATATAAAAAATTGGTTATGAAGATCCAAAAATTCAAACTTTATTTTAAGGGAGTTTTATATATTTCTTTGTTTATTATAGTTAACTAATAACTAATTAATCTTTTTTTAAATAATCTCGTTAATTTATTGTAAAAGTATAAACATTTCACATTGTTACATTATTAATATTTTTTTGTTCATTATAGTACGGTCAATAGTACAGTACTACATGTAGTCAATCTGTATTTTGACATAAAAAAATTCCGAACCGACTGTTATTCCTGCAAGTCTAAAGTGTAAAATGTCAAATTCCCGAGATCCCCCTCCAGGGCTTTCCTCCCCTTTTCAAAAAAGTTTTGAATCGTTTAATTTCGTTTCCTATTGGTTGGACAAAACAAGTGTCAAGACAAAAAAAATGTAGAGATTGAAAATTTTTGAAATTGTAAGTTAGTAAATCTGTGCTTTAATTACAGGGTCCCCTGAAAATGGCACCATACTACAGGAAGGAAGGGGTCAATTTTAAGTATAATAAATCAAAAAACTTATGCCCTTAAAAAATGCAAATAAAATAAATAATTTTAAATTAGTGAAATAAAACAAATAGGTACTAAAAATGTTAAATTGGGTTAGAAGGCTGTAAGTTTTATACCGCAACGTCATCGGCCATGCATTACCCACCGTTGTCGAGGGATTCAGTAATATTACAAAAAATTCATGATAATACAGTGTTTTTTTCTTTTTTTATTCATGGAATCTTATACTACCTTTTTCGCAATATTAATGAATCACCCTGTATATTTTGGGTGATTGTTTTAAATATTTTAAATTAAAATTCAATTTTTATAAATTATCTTCCTCTAAATAAAACTATAAATATTTTCATAATTATGCTTCCGGTTATAAAAAAATTATGAACCTCAAATGTTAATATCAAATTTGTGTGAAAATAAATAAAGTTGACATTGACCTTTATAAATTTAGTTAATTTCCTGAGAATAATTGACAATCGCGATGCATCGGAAGTAAATCCGGTTAAAAGAACAGGACCGTAACTAAAGTGTCAATAATGGCCATAAAGGCAAAAAAAAATAATTTAAAAATGAGTAAAAATAGGATTATTTTTCCCGTGAAAGATTATGTTACCTGTGAAAGGTTATTTTAACCATGAACGGCTCTTTATTCTCGTCATCATAACAAATATATTATATACCCAGCAAACACATAAGTCTAATTATGTAATGGCACATTACATAGTTTCATGGCTTAAGAATGGAATTTTTAGCAAAAGCTTTCCTTGTACTGGTCCTTTACAGGAATGTTTTGATAAAAATATTAATTTTGATAATAGGCTGTCGTGATGTATGGCAATTTTAGTATCAAGTTAAACTTTAAAAAACCATTGAAGTGCCAAATGTTTCATGTATATAAAACTTACATGAACCTTTAATTATCCTTTGGTTAACGCCATATTTTAAAAATGACGCCCAGTGTTATTCCTATAGTTATAGTTATAGTGTGTTATACCACATACAAAATACCGCCGCCAAAGAATTTATTAGAAAGGTTTAATTGATAACGTCAAAATTGGAGCAATTGCGAATAAAAGAAATTAATAATGGCAAAGACAACCTGGTTTTCTTTGTTATAGGAGCAACCTTCCAAAAAAATCAAGTGAACTTATTTGTAAATATATGTTTTAATTTTAAATTATTTCTATTTAGTTATAAATAAATAAACAGTTTTTAAAATATAATTTTCATGTTTAACTTATACTGGTCTTGGCTTTAAATTCTTCTTTGTGTTCGTCGTAGATAAAGTTCTCTAGTATTAAAAACTCGCTTGCAAGCTTCGCTCGTGCCTAATAAAACTCGTAACTAAACTGGCGTTTATAAAATTTGATACATAATATACTATATTTTGGTGGATTAAATGTGGTTTGTTTATATTTATTGACCGTCAGAAATTGTATTGAGACAGTACGGATGCACTTTCTGATTATCGTGCACGATTATTTTATTATTATATTCCATGGAATATCCTTATAAGGATATTCCATGGATATTTATTAGATAAGGATATTAGATAGGTATACCTACATACCAAATTTAATTAATTAATTAATTAATACTTCACTTAGGTATCCATTAAAAATTATTTAAATAATCACTATAGAATCTTTTCCCATATCAGAAACTTTAGATTGCCACATTTGTACCTTTAATCTGCCCTATCAGAACCTTTAGCGTGCCATATCAAAAAATGTAATGGTTTTCGTAAATGCCTTTATTGACTGCCGTAACATGAACAATAAAAGTGAACGCGACATAATATGTACAGTTCCATTAGAGTTAGCCTTTAGTTCATTAAAGGCACGTTTATATCCCTGATAGCAAAATTTGATTTTAAGAATCTTCTAAGAAGATATGACCCGGAATAATGAAATATTCTTAGAGCTTCCCTTATTGCTAAAAATGTTCTTAGGGACTTTTCAAACATTCAATAGATACCCTTTTAATGATGCAATTAGATTCTTGAAAGCTTCTTAAAACCTTCCTAAAAAGCATCCTAAGAACATTTTAAGAATAAGTTTTTGGAATGTTCTTACAAGGTTTCTTATGGAGCTTCTAGGAAGCTATTGAGAGTATTCCCAAATATGTCAGATAGGTACCCACGTTCTAATATGTTGTATTCTACATTCGTAAAATTCTTCAAGACACGACAAATATGCCTCACTGTTATAATATGACAGTGAAATGTATTTGTCGTCCCCTTAAAAAGATTTTGCGACATATTAATGTATATTTATTTAAAAATATTAAATAAACATTTGGACCTCTAAACCATAAGTTGTATGACATTATTTCATAAAAAGTAAAATTGAAAAATTTTGTTGGATAATTTAGATTAGATTGAAGTTGAAGATAAAAATGTTAATTCAGAAATAAAATATCGGTATACAAATTAATAAATATTTATTTTTAACATAAAATAAAATACCTAGTAAAAGTATTTTTGTTATCGAATATTGTTTTAATTTAATAAATAACTATAAAAAAATATTTTGGATTGTGTTTTTTACTTAGTATTTAATACTAATTAGGTAGGTACTTAAGTATACGTAGTTTATGGTATATTTTACTATTATATATAATTATAGCATATATATATACATATATATATATATATATATATATGCTTAACAGGAATATTCCTAAATGAACTTTCTATACCCAGATAACAAACGTGATTTTCACGTTTTAGTCACAACATGATTTTCACGCATGAGAAAAATATGCGTTCACCGTGATATCACGTGTGATATTTATTCTATATATTCACGCATGAGGAAAATATGCGATCACCGTGATATCACGTGTGCCATTTATTTTATACCTATATAAAGTTATTTTCATGTCAATACATTGCCTAACTATTGTTAGGCATTGCATTGATTAATGTCGACATGAAAATAACTTTAAAAATATTAAGAATAAATGTCACACGTGATATCACGGTGATCACATATTTTCCTCATGCGTGACATGAAATAACTTTAAAAACATTGAAACCAAAACTCACGTGCGCATGGGGCGCACGCGCATAATTGTATCAGCGCAAAGTCCGCAAAACAGTCTTGTCAATGATCGACACTTTGCCAGGTCTCCCATTATAGCGGCAAATCTACCGCTTTTTGCAGTTCTCCTTATAAATAAAATTGATAAATAACATAAAGACAAAACCACGTAATAGATTGGATACCAAGGCAATTAATTAATTAATAATTAATTTACACCAAAAGGCTGATTGGAATAAAAAATTAATTTTTATTTGCAAAATAGATTTTATAAAACAATGCGAAATAGATTTTATAAAACAATTTATGGTTCGCCATGAGTCAGATAAAGAATCCGTTAAATATTTTAATTTTTTGTTACCAAAGATTCTTATTTTTGACAATGTTTAATTAAGTTTATATGGCATGTGCAAGTTGATATCTCTTCTAATATAGAATATATTTTTTTGTTATGTTCGTCATATTTTTATGTTTTGTTTTGTTTGTTAAAGTTTAATATTAAAAGTACATTGCGGAGTATTTAAAATAAAAACCATCATTTTCTATTTGAATCTCCCGCTTTTTTCATGAAAGCGACCTGGCAGCGCTGATAACAAACACGTGCCGCGCAATCTTTATCAGAATTCTGTGTGCATTTGTTTGATGGTTTTATGGTGCCTATTTACAATACATATTAAAATATCTCTGAAAATAACAAAAGGAACCCTTGAAAACGAGTTTTTTAATACCTACTAAATTTAGGTAAGTGGAATAATTATAATTTAATGAAAACTCTGGATTACGAGTTGATGGTTTTAAGGTTATGTGCTACTAGGTATATTATTAACTAAACGCACAATTGTGACTAAACGTTTGCTAAACTTTTGTAAAACATATAGTATTAATACTATGTTTTACAAAATATAAAAAATTATTTTCTATTTCGTTGTTGCAGAGACTCCGAGACGATTAAGGTCGACCAGCCTGCTAAAGAAACCTACGAATCTGTCATAAAACCTGGAATTTCTCATAATATTCAATACTGTATTGGCCAATTACCGGTAATGAGAAAATGACATCTGCTATTTTTAAGTTAATGGAAAATCAAAGTAATGTGATTTTGTGGACAATTTCTCGAAAAATAAAATGGGCATTTGTTAATTAATTACGTTATTTCATTTTATAGGGAAATAAAAGATGACATTAACAAATTAATAAAGCAAAATGCTTCATTGGAATTAAAAGTTGACCATTTAACTCAAAAGGTAACGTCCACAAATCCTTTGAGGCAATCAATCGTAAATTCTGCCCTTTACAAGCCTTTGAAAGGATTTCCTTTGAATACAAAAGGGGAATTTAAGGAATTTGAAAGCCCCAATGCTGTAAAAAACCGCGAAAAAATGGTATAGTCAACAGTCCTTATATCTTCTAATTTAAATGTATTTTATCTGTTTTCTTTTCAGTTTGACCATTTAAAAACTTTGGGTGCAGGAAAACTAAGAGAATTTTTGGGCGCAGCCCTAAAAGAAATAATGACCGATGAGCTCGTATTTTCTTTCACTTGGAAAGGAAATTCCAACAATTTATCTTTTGAATCGACAATCACAGCAAATATTCTATATAGTACGTAAGATATAGTCAAATATTGTTCATTATACCATGTTGTTTGTCTTGCAGATATTGCGGTAGAAGTTACTTCTTACCCTGGTCCCTTAACAAAAGAAAAATTTAAAACCGAACTTTTAGAAGTGTTTAGAGCTACAAAACAAAGATTTAAGAATAGTTTAAACAAGAATGAGATAAACCCAAAAAAACGGAATCGCATGAAAAAAACGAATTCTTGTTCAAAATTAACATCTAATAAGAAAAAAGAGCATTCAACTCCGTTATCAAAGTCAGATTCTGCACATTCTGATTCTGAAGCAATGTCATGTGACTTTGATGCTACCTCAGAATACGATGATTCTGAGTCAAGATCAGATAGGTTGGAAGTTTCTGAATCTGAAATTGAAGAATCAAATAAGAAATATAAGTCATAGAATAAACCTTTTCTCGATGAAAAATAACTGTAAATTTGTGATATAAATAAAAAAATTACCTACTTGATTTTTTTTTTTGTATAAATAAGAACCTAAAAATTATCTTAAAATATCACGCATGATATCACTATGACTGCTTTGTGACATTTATTTCTCACGCGTGAATTCACTGTGATCTACATGTGAGGACGCATATGTTATACACATGAGTCTCACGCGTGATCGAAAATGCGCTCATTGTGATTTCACAGTGACATCATTTTGTTATCTGGGTAGCAATTACTTTCTTAACATTCTAAGCATATGTTTAGAGTAGACTAATTTTTACCACTAAAACTTTGCACCTTCTAAGAACCTGCCTATAGGCCAGTAAGAATATTCTTAGGATCATGCTATATTTCTTTTAAGCAAGTTCTTTAGAAGAAATATAGCATGATCCTAAGAATAGTTTCACTAAAAGGTTTAAAAAACATTCTTTGAATAAAGTGCGCTATCAGGGAAAGGACCATTATAGAACCTTTACGGTTCTGTTTGATGGGTAACTTCTTCAACCCAGCGCAGAACAAACCACCATTGTATTACTGTCCACTATTTTAATATACGAGGTGTGTTTAGAAAATAACGGGAATTGTTAAATTTCGCGGGTTCGGAGGGTCCGGTTGTCATAAAATTTTCTTTATTATATTGGTACACATGCCCCCGAAGTATGATAAAAACTCTAGCTGTTTTCATCGTTTACTTTGTCTGTGGCAGCCGCTAAGGTTAGATATATTTTAGGAGCTCGGCGATTTTCGTTCGTTAAAAGAAATGGATCAAAGAAATTTTTATCCAATTTTGCTTAAAAAATGAAATAAATTCTGTGAAATATTAACAAAGGCGTATAGTGAGTCTGCTATAAGTAAAACAAGAGTTTACAAGTGGTATAAGAGTTTCCAAGATGGCCGTGAAGACGTTGAAGATAACGAACGCCCCGAACGTCCAAGCACATTAACAACTGATAAAAACATGGAAAAAGTGGAAGAAATGGTTATAAACCATCAGAGAAGTCGCTGATGATGTTGGTATATCGATTGGCTCATCTCATGAAATTTTTTCGAATGTTTTGGGTATGAAACGCGTGGCAGCAAAATTTGTTACAAAAATGTTAAATTTTGAACAAAATTTTTGTTCAAAAACAATACTGTAATGATGCCCCAGCCTCCATATTTGCCAGACATGCCTCTGTCTGAGTTTTTCCTATTCCCAAAAATAAAGAGAACCTTAAAGGGCCGTCGTTTTGCAAGCATAGATGACATTAAAAGCGCATCGCTGAAAGAACTAAAGGCTATCCCAAAGATCGAGTTTTAGAAGTGTTTCGAGTATTGGAAGAAGAGCTGGTACATGTGCATAGTATCCAATTTTGAAGGCGACAACATTAATGTAGACGAATGGTTTGACATGTACCGAACAAATGACGCGTTTCTCGGAAAAACATCATTAGTCCAAAATTAACATATTTGGGAAAATGAAAAAAACTCTCCGACATTCCCATTTTTGACCAAAGTACTTTATTGACCTATTTACTACATGTACAAAAATGTAAGATACTTTGTCCAGAATTCCTCATGTTTTTTTTTCAAACAAATATGAAAAAAACACAAAAACTACATGAACATGTAAGGTTTTTAGAAGAAAAAAACGAACAATTCTCCTTACTACAAACACTACAAACTAAATATTAACTCTGAGCAACAAAATAAATGAAAAAACTAAAAACTGTATTATGGCCACACTCAGTATTCGCATCCACTGCTAAGAAACATTTTTCTTAGTACCTCGACTGAAAATACGTTGTTTCGTCCCAGATTCCACGGCAGAAAGTTTACGTTTGATGCATTGGTCAAGCTATACGCGCACCCTCTATAATAGCGGGAGTAAAAATAGTCGTGTGCACTAGTACTCAACATATGCAACTCTAATATAACCTCAAAATTTGTTTTCAATTTCGATATACACATTTAATTTTTTCCCGTATTTTCGGCCGGGTTGTATTTTCAGCCGAGGTAGTAAGAAAAATAGTATACACTACACGGGCAGAAAGTGTGAGAGCCCTGAACTGCGCGCCATGATGCCCTCGGCTTCGCCTCGGGCATCTCACACTTTCTGCCCTTGTAGTGTAATATACTATATAGAAATACTACAATGTAGTTTTTTAAAATTTTGTAACTGTCAGACGACAAAATGTCACCATTATTGTTCGGCGGTCAATAATAATTTGACTTTTGAACTAGTAGTCACTACATTATTGTACTAGTTCAAAAGTCAAATTATTATTGATCGCCGAACAATAATGGTGACATTTTGTCGTCTGACAGTTAAACCTAACCTAAAAATGAGGTTACAAAATTTCAAAAAATAACGAAATTTAGAGCTTGAAAAAAAAATAGTATATAAAACACGGCGGCGAAAGCTTATTAATTACCTCGCACACAATCTACTGCCTCGGCGGCGCGCTTATTTTATAGATAGAGGATAGAAAATTTGTTTTGTAACGCTGGATAAGTTTAATAGATACACATATAGGTATATACCTATATATTAGACTGGGCTAAAAAAATTGACTTTTTTTTTTGAAAAATATATCGAGAATGTCATTCAGAATGGCAAAAAAAAAATTGGTGAAAATTTGAGCCCTTAATATTAATTTTAAAGCTTAATTTTCATGTATCCGTTTGTCCGTTATACGTTTGTACGTTTTTCAATAAAATCGTCCGATAAGAAATGTTCTAATTTTCATGCATCCGTTTTTATATGACGTTTAAACATGTTGGTTGATACTGAAAAAGTGTGTTCTGACATAATCACGACAACTAGTGGAAAAGGACCGAAAACAAAAACAAAACTCGAACAAAACTTAGTTTGCTTGATGGAAACAAGAGTTTCGGGTTTGTTTCAGTTTTGTTTTTGATTTGCAAGTTTTTAAAAACACAAACAAAACCCAAACTCAACTGTCCGTTTAAAGCCGAAACGGAGTGGACTTGTGATGTTTTTAGAAGAACAAGCTAAATTTCATATTTAATTATTATGGAACCTATGACATTTTTACGAGAAACACTTATTCGTATACGTATATATGGAGGTTAGGAAACAGTTGGTGCTAATATCTAAATTTCGACGATATTGGACGAATGATGTTTTTCCGAGGAACGCCCCTAGGGGAACGCCTCAAATGTAAAAAGACTGTCACTTTTGACACAAGAAAATAATTTTTCGGAAAAATGTTTTGTGAATTAAGCGACGCAGAGATCATACGATGCGATCACGGCTTCCAATTATTCGACCTCGATGGGAATGGGCTGATGAACACAGAAGAATTCAAGGACTACATGAATGAATTATCCTTGAAACCATCGGACGAAGAAGTGCAAGACTTCTTCGAAAACTACAAAATCCACGACGAACTCTTCGAAGTGGACGTAACGAGCGTCGTCAAATACCTGAGCGAGTTTTTGTCGGGCACCAGAGACGAGGAGAGGCTTCGTGAAGCATTCGAAGTTTTCGACCACGAGAAAACAGGCTTCGTCCTCGCTTCCGAGATGAAGTACATGCTAATGAACTTCGAGGACACGCTTACGGAACAGGAAGTAACGGAACTGTACAGGGAAGTTCGCATAAACGACGACGGCGAGATTTTCTACGAGGAATTTGTCGAGGTTATGAAGCCTGAGGACCCGGATACTCAGCTCATTGTCGAGGAGTATACTGACACTGAGTCGTCTTCTGAAAATGCTTCGGAATGTTGTATTGAAAACAGAGAATGCTAATAAAGAGTTTACCTACGTTTTAATCTATCTTTCTTTTAACAAAAGTCTTAACACAAAACCCCTGGCGAAAATTAAATGTGCAAAAAGTGTGCAAAATTATTTGAGAACAATGTGCAGAGGGTTGGAAATGGAACATGAAACAATGTGCAGAACCAAAAATTTACAAGTGTGAATAATCACTCCTTTTGATATTTCACATTCTTTGCACACTGTTTCTTGCCACCTTCTGTTGTTTTTGGTGACCTCTAAAGTCGTTTAAATTTATTTAATCAATAAATAAATATCCTAATAATAATATTAATACTAACCTAATAAAAAGGTTCTTTTAAAAAATTTTAAAAAAATATCCACAATGTAGTTTTACATTCCTGTCATGTATTTTATTAAGAAAAATACCGGAACTGTCAACTCCACGACGGGGATTGCCGAGAAGCATACATAAGATTTATGGTTATTGCCTTTTCGAGAAGTTTGTTTTTTTGTTTTGGTATACCATATATGTACATATGTACCGATACTAAACATTTTTATACATAAGATGTAATTTACCTCATCTTTTAAATAAAAGTTTTACCACAACACAAGCGAGATATATCTAAAATGTGCTTAAACAGTTGAGTGATCGCTAAAACTAAACAAGCAATGTGCTATAAAAAGGTTTATTATAAGCGTGATAAATGAGAAATAATAAAGCATCCTAACAGTGTGTATAAAATGTGACATGCGTAAGATAGACTGAAGCTTTGCAAAAGACAAACAATGTACTAAAACTGTGCAAACAATGTGCAAAAAAATAATTTAATATAAGCGTGACAAGTACTTGTCACGTGACAAATAAAAAGCGTGATGTCAATGTGCATAAAGAGTGAAAAAACTAAATTTCAAAAAGTGTGACATTACCACAAAATAGCGTCTATGCGCATTGTTATAAAGACTTGCACTCTATAGAGTGCAATATAAATACACACTTATTGCTCACTTTTTGTGCACGCTTTATTTTCTTCAGGGACTTCCTACACTGAGAAAAATAAACGCATTAAGTCAATGTTCACTAATGCAAGTCATAAAATATTGAGTTTTTAACCTTTTTTGGTTAAGTCAAACGAATAGAAATGTTAAAGGAAATTAAAAATAATTTTGTTTTTGCTCTAACACAATAATTTACTTAACTAAAATAAAATTTGCATGTTTACTGAACAGATGGACATGTATTTCGGTTAATTGACAACTCTTATAATGATGTTTGGAATTCGTTGTGAGAATATAAAATGCATTGATTTAATACATGTAAAAACTTTCAATTAAGTAGGTTTAAATTTTAATTCTAAATGGTAAATATCTTAGCTTGACTACTCTGAATATATTGTTTTTGCACTATATGCATCCCCTTACATTTGTCAACCAATTATATACACGTATTAGGAGCACATGACAAATGTCCTGATGGACAAAGATTTTATTTTCTGTGTTTTGCATTAACACACCCATTTTATACAGGGCTTCCCAAAAGTCCCGAGACGGAGCTATAACTTTTGAAGCTACATTCTTAGATAGTTTAGAACTTCCATGCAACGTGGAGTTTTTTTAGGGGTTGACTACCCCAACATTTTAAATAGCAACCCCTGTCGAGTTTAACCTTATTTTAAAGCTAATGAAAAAAGAAACACATCCCCATAAACGAAAACCCAACATCTTTCAAGAATTATGAGGGGTTGACTACCAAGTGGGAAAATAAAATTTTTTAATATTTTTTTTGTACGTTTATTACGATTTTTATAACAAATTTTCAAATTATCAACCATTTTCGATCTCGCAATGACCCAAACGCAATTTTGAACCTTCAGGAGCATATTCCTAGTTATATTGGTGGTTTCTTCAAGTATGCGATTTTCCAAATTATTGATTCTGGTTTTGTTGCATACACTTTACTTTTCAGAAACCCCCAAAAGAAAAAATCGAGTGGGGTTAGATCAGAAGATCGTTGTGGCCATTCAATTTCACCTCTTCTACCAATCCAACGGTTTTGAAACGTGTGGCTGCTATTTAAAATGTTGTGGTGGTCATCCCCTAAAAAAACTCCACGTTGATGGAAGTTCTAGCTATCTAAGAATGTAGTTTTTATGATCCTATATTGATCCTTAAATTTTCAATTTTTTTTCTTCACTCCTTTAAAAGTTATAGCTCCGTCCCGGGACTTTTGGGAAGCCCTGTATGTGGTATACCTACATGTACTTTAGCATTATTATTAATAGAAATTAGGCGCGGCTTACAAAAATAACCACATGTGGTCCAAATTGTTATTCACGTACAATTATATTTTAAATTAATATTTTGAGGCAGTGATCGTTAATTTAGTAAGATAATGTATATGACATTAATTAATTAATTTAATTAATTAATTAAATTTAAATTAAAAGTAGGTACCATATCTATTTACAATTTTAGCAATATTTAATGCAAAGCATGGTGTACCTGACCAAAGGCGCTAAAACTGGAAGCAAAAAATTGAAATAAACCCTTATCCGTTGTTAATAACACTTGAGGATGGAATGTGGTCCCACTATTTTTTCTGGTTATTTTAATAGCCCCAATTATCATCCAAAGTATTTTTCGTACTATAGTATATATGCTACTATACAATTATTGTAATAATTGTTAATTTTACAATGTTTATAGTAGATTTTTGTGGCTTTTGATAATCATAATAAAATACTATTTTATTATGATAATGTGTCTCAAAATCTAGAATAATAATTGTAAAATTTACAATTACTTCATCCAGAGCATTGAAATTGCGAACAAATGCATTTCTTGAAGGGTTTCTTCATTTTAATTTGACATTGCCAAAGTATTAGATGAATATCGTTAAAACAAGTAAATAAATATTTTAAAATAAGATTTAGAAAATGTTAAGTTGACAAATTTGATATGTTAATTTAAATTAACATTTTTGTTGCTTTAAAGTTTAATTTTATTTAAACTGTATAAAACTGAATATTGATTCAATAATTGAAATTGTTTCTTTTAATGTAGTTAACGTTTACAGTCAAATAGGTACTTAAAAATTAGTAATTCAATATTGAAAAATGCTTAATTCATTAAACAAATCTAAAACTCTTTCTTTAGCATCCTGAGACCATTGACTACACAGTAAAAAAAATCAACTCTAAGCAACACTAATTAAAGTTCACACAGGTCCACACAAAATAGTGTTGTATTATAACACTACAATTAGAGTTAATTTGTAGTGTAATTTTCCTCAAGTAAGCAAGTATGATTTAACACTATAGCACTGAGGATAAAGTAATTTTACACTGTATTAAAAAGTGTTAATTTTCCTAAAATCGTGTACTTCTACACTTCCTGGGTAAAATCCCACTTTTGTTCAGTGTAAATTAACACTACTTTGGAAAAGTTCTAATTTTAGAAAGGTACTTTTACTCTTTTAGTGCAAACTTCTAGTGTAAATTAACACTATTATTTGAGTAAAACCTATTGGTGGACCACCAATAGGTTTTACTCAAATAATAGTGTTAATTTACACTAGAAGTTTGCACTAAAAGAGTAAAAGTACCAATGGTGGCCACCAATGGTGGTAGTGAATAAAATAAAAAGGTAAATAAAGAGAAACATTTATTTGAAACAAAAATCTATGAAAATTATCAAAATCGGTGCCTTTTAAAATATAATTTTATATTTGAGTCGTATGGCTGGCTTAAGCAAAATGGTTCCTTAAAACGTAAAAGTTTTAGATCAATGCAATGTTGTACTGGCTGTCAACTTGTAAGCAATGAATTATCTTGAGAATTCATCAGTAATCAATTTTTCTCTTATAAAAAATGGGTGATCCCCGAGGGGTCAACCACCCAAAGGGAAAACGTACAGGGATTCCCATGTATTCCCATTATATTTTATTGTATTCCTATGGTATTCCCCCTCCAAAATGTCCAGGGATTCCCAGGTGTGGGTGACCCTCGGTGATCCCATTGTTGGAGAGGCGTCAGGCGGCTGTATGTCGGGGATTTACCACACGTGTACAAAATTTCCATAATATTAATAAAAACGCTTGAAAATAAAAAGTAAATCAAGTGTGTATGTATTTATATTATTAATGTTACAAGTACCCGACCTACTTCCGTAAATTATTGATATATAATATAGGTCGGGTATACCCGATATATGAACATCCTTTTAACATATTGGTATTTATTAAGTATTAAGGCTTAAAGAAAAAGAAAGTATAATGCTTACCAAAAAGTAAGAATGTCCCCTTATGGATTCACCGTAATTAAAATCTAACTGAACAAAAATGCCACCCCAAGCAGCATTTTTGGTTCCAAAAACCATTGCCAAAGTGGTGATAACTTTAAATTAGTTAAGTATACTAAACAGCTACTTTAATTTTTACTTAAAAGTAATTCTAACTTTTAAATAGCAATATTTTGTAACAGAAACTTAATTTTTCCTTAAATTGTTACTATAAAGTAATAAACATTTAAGTAAAACTTGGTTGCCCCCAAGAAGACTTTGCAACTTTAAAAAAGATGTTATAAGTAAAAAAAACTTTCAAGTAAATTTAATTTGTAGCAGTTACTTTCGGTTGCTACCTAAAGATTACATTATAATTATTTTTACTTTGTAGTCCCTTTGCAAGTTAAAATCTCGAAACTGGAACATGAGTTAAAAACTACAAAGTTAATAACTTAAAAGTTATTATTTTAGTATTTGGAACGTTCATGGTACTAACTTTAAATTAGTTAAGTATACTAAACAGCTACTTTAATTTTTACTTAAAAGTAATTCTAACTTTTAAATAGCAATATTTTGTAACAGAAACTTAATTTTTCCTTAAATTGTTACTATAAAGTAATAAACATTTAAGTAAAACTTGGTTGCCCCCAAGAAGACTTTGCAACTTTAAAAAAGATGTTATAAGTAAAAAAAACTTTCAAGTAAATTTAATTTGTAGCAGTTACTTTCGGTTGCTACCTAAAGATTACATTATAATTATTTTTACTTTGTAGTCCCTTTGCAAGTTAAAATCTCGAAACTGGAACATGAGTTAAAAACTACAAAGTTAATAACTTAAAAGTTATTATTTTAGTATTTGGAACGTTTATGGTACTAACCAAAACAACCGTAAAGTGGAAAAAAACTTTAAAGTAGCGAAAACTACTTCAAAGGAAAATGCTTCTTATCGGCCATTTTTTACTGTACAGTACCACGTGGTAATGTAAATAATAAATTGTTTGTAAATGGTTGTTTACTTTTTAATAAATAGAAATATTGTTGGTAATAGACGGTATTAATAATTAAATAAAAAAAATAATAATAAATATTAAGATTTTTTTATTTATAAACATTACTAAATAAATAATTTGTTTATACTTAAATATTGATGAAGCGCATTTATTTTACAAAAACTAAATTCATAAGTTCAACAGTAAAATTTAAAGGGTTTATAAATCTACCTGTCTAATTAAACATTATATTGTTATTCTGGAAGTTATAAACTTTAAAGGGTTTATAAATTTACCTGTCTAATTAAACATTATATTGTTATTATATATTGATGAAGCGCATTTATTTTACAAAAACTAAATTCATAAGTTCAACAGTAAAATTTAAAGGGTTTATAAATCTACCTGTCTAATTAAACATTATATTGTTATTCTGGAAGTTATAAACTACCAGTACATATTTAATAAACGACGACATTGAAAAGCCAAGTCCGTAGTGGTTCCATTTAAAAAAGGAGGGATAGTATAATCTAATATAAGTTTGACAAAGACAGTTAATATAGAAGTAAAAACAAATAATAAAAGTAATTATAACGCTCTAGCAACGATATTGGGACGTTCTAGTAACGTAGCAGCTACGTCCCAAATAGTAGCAGGGTTGGCAGCTAGAGACATATTTGCTACCTTTTTGGAACTCAATAATTGTTCCCCACTTTAGTCGTAACGTAGTACTTAATGAAAGAGTAATATAAAGAGACCGGCGACTGTCGCAAAACACTTTGAAGTTTCTTCAATAGTCCCATATACGTAACAAATACTTAAATTGTTGCTTGGGACACTTCCACAACGCGGTATCTCCGGATATGCACTGCGTAGGTAGGTAGTTACCAACCAAACATTTTAAAACGCATTTTGATTATTGCCAGTTTTTTCAGTCTATTTTGCCACTATTAGTGTAATTTAACTTTAATTGTGATACAATATGCACTAGTAGTGTAAAGAAAAAATAGGTCTTAGTAAGTTAAGCAGTTAATAGGTCTTAGTAAGTTAAGCAGTTTTTGTTTGAATCAACACTATATTTTTCTCAGCGTATACGCTCTCGTGTTCTTTTATCATTTTTAAATGACAAATTATCCATGGTCGTCAAAACACAATATATTGACAGTTAATACAATATTTTTTATAATCAAAACATGGTAGACCAACTAACCGATAAACAAATAGCGGAATTCAAAGAGGCATTTGCCTTATTCGATAAAGCGGGCGAAGGCAAAATACGTCTAAGAGACATCGGAATGGTGATGAGAGCTTTGGGCTATAATCCCACGGAAAAAGAAATCAACGAGATCATAGAGCAGTACAAGGCGGATGACATGTTGGATTTTCAAAAATTTTTGACCATTATTTCGACCAGGTTGAGGGAAAATGACACTGAAGAAGAAATAAGAGAAGCATTTAGGTAAAAAAAAACATACAAGGTTGGTCGGGTTGTAATGTAATATATTTAGGGTGTTTGATAAAGACAACACAGGTTTTATAAATGCAGCTGAATTAAGGCATATTATGATGAATTTGGGGGAGAAGTTAACAGAGGAAGAATGGGATGAAATGCTACGAGAAGCGGATATTGACGGTGACGGTCAAATAAATTATGAAGATTTTGTTACAATGATGATGGGGAAATAATACGAATATGTACCTACTTAATTACACAGGTCCACAACATTTTTAGTAATCAGATTAGGTTTTTAACGTGTTGAATTCATATTCGACCTAAGCCCCCCCCCTATCACAGATGAGAATTTCTAATTCAATATTTGGGGTTAAGTAACGATTATAGATTAGTATTTCTCATAAACAGGATGAACTCGAATTTGAATTAATTGCATTAAAAAACTTGTTATTTTAACAAAAGAATGTTGGTTTAATTTTGTTGGCCTGTGTTATTATTATATTATATTATATTAAGGTGTTTTTTTGTGAATCTTTTACGAACAATATTTTAAAAAAATTTTACATGACGATATTAAATAGGAAACCAATAAGTATTATTTTATATTTTATAATTAAATATAATTACAGACTTCCTTTTTTGCTTTCTTACCATAAAATGACCTTTACCTAGATATTTGTTTAATTAATTAAAATTAGGCCTAGGTGCATTTTAAGGTCATCTCTTTGCGCTTTAATTTAGTTTCCGGTAAATAAAGGATATAAAAATATAATACAAAAATAATTGGATTTTTTTTATTAAAAATGTTTATTCATAAAATACATTATATTATACAAACAATATAATATCTTGTAGTGTAAATTCGACAAAGTTTTAAGTACCTACATTAGACTGTCAAAATAACTTTTTTTTTTCGATTAAATATATCTAAAAAGTTTCTTCAATATGAAAAAAAAAATTCCTAAAGTTTGAGCTCAATATCTCTTAAATTGAGCAGGGGCAAAGGGGATCCCCTTTCCTATTTAAAATACATAAGAATTTTTGTTTTGTTTTAGAATACATGAATAAATTTTTTTTTATGTCCCTAAACTCATCAGAAACAAAATTACATAGCAACTTTATCGACTGTAATATTCGATTTTTATTTTTTTTCCTCCTATTCAGCGCTATGTAACTTCGTTTCTAATGAGTTTAGAGAAAAAATGCATAGGGACAATTTTGTAGAGAACTAAATTTCCTATGAGGTAGTTTTTTTCCAATTTGATTTTAAATGGGAAAGGAATTTTAGAGATATTGAGCTCAAACTTTATTTTTTTTTCATATTGAAGAAACTTTTTAGATATATTTAATCGAAAAAAAAGTTATCTTGACACAGTCTAACCTACATTAAACAACAGAAAAATGCAAATTATCAAAGAAATAAAAAAGTCATGAAAACTTCATTGATTTAACATTACAATCTATAAAAAATATAAGAATTTTTATGCCTAAAATACAGGGTGTCCCAAAACAAACTTAAAAATAATAGGTTTACCTTGTTTATATGGTTTTAAGTCTAATTACATAGATTAGGCCTAATTTACATAATGTTTAAACAATTAATGTTTAATCTTATACGAAATTGCATTTAAGGATTTTTACTTTAACAACAAACAACACACATGATGTGCCATTGGTTGTTATCCATTGACACCACACCTAGATGAATGAATGACAGTTAAATTCAAAATTATATATAATTTCTGTAATCATGTATTCCTTTGGTGAGTATTCTGATATGTATCTTGTTTTTGGAGAATGCTTAGAAAATGCAAGAGTCCTTTAGTCAGTGTAATAATATAATTTGTTTAGTTTTTCTTTCTATAACCTTTAACTTAATGTAACGAATTTGGTCAATTCATTTTGAAACTTTCTAATATTGTTATAATGATTAAAATTAAACAATTGTTAGCAGGCAATGTTGCCTTTTAAAGAAAATATGTATCCTCTGTATTTTGTTTAATGATAAAGGTAAATGTTTTAAAACAATTTGGGACACCATTTATACATAGATTTTTTAATAAAGGTAATATAATATGGTATAAAAACACTATGTCTAAACTTTTGTTTTTTTGGTTTACCCAGTAATCATCATTTTCAGATTAAGTGTATTTTATATACTATAAACAAATATATATATATTTATGTAGTATGTAGTACACCCATGAGCAAAAGTAAACATACAATAAAAGTGTACTACACCAAAAACAACATAACCTTACTTATATTAAAAACTGGCCCCGCAGTTGGAGCACTTTTTCTCCCTCATCAAAAGGCAGCACAGAATTCCGAGCGGGAAAAAACATATCGCGCACATGACTCCGCAGCACGTAAAATCGTCTTCCAGCACGCCTACCCTGCAGGCCGGACATCCGCCCACGATAATCGTTTCCGGCTGCAAAATGATCGTCTGCGTTGTAGTGGCCCCGTACGTCGGAGCTTGAGCCGGTTGCTTGTATATAGGCGTAGGTGGGACAGTGTAGACAGGCGCAGGAGGTGCCGTCGGTTGGTTGTAGGCGTAGTGTTGGTGAACACCTTGTATAATAAACAAAAGTCTTGAAAATTTTACTTTTGAACAGAACATAGACTATATTGGTTTATTTAAAATATTAGAATGAAGATCTACTTCTTGCTGTAGAAAATTTGGTTACTAAAAGAACCTTTTCATTACAGGGTGATTATTTACAAATAACAAATATCTATTTGTTATTGTTATCCTATACTTTAGTTTTTTGTGTTGTGGATTTCGTTAATTAGCTATTCATGTTTTTTCGCGTATCTACAATATTGAGTAATAAAGGACAAAAGATCATTTTAATTGTTAAAAGCATTAAAAATGATCTTTTGTCCTTTATAACTTAATATTGTATATACAGCAGTTTTGCTTAACAGGGCAGTATTGTTTAATTGAAATGTTACATAGCACCTGTGTATTTTTGTCGTTTTTGGGTTCGTCCCATTTGCAATTTGCCTTGTTTAAATTTTTATTATTAGTGAAACATTTTACGCTTTACTTGTGAAAGTACACTCACAGGCAAATTAATCGATCCACACAAATTTTCGATGAATTTCAATCGCAAATGAATCTTTTATTTGATGTCGGATTTAAACGAATATTAAAGAATATTGTAGATAAATTAATGGAGAATTGCTCACATTTAAAAAAAAATACTAAAAAATAATATACAGGTTTAAATAAAAAGAAGATTTTTACCATAAGTCACATCTATTCTTAACAGTTTTGTTTTTAGTTTACCTCGATATATTTATTTTTGTGGAAAATATAAATTTAAAAAAAAATTGCAATTTCCAATATTTATTCTGTACGAAAAACTAAGGTTGCTATGGTCCATCCATAGGCCCATACTTGATCATATACGGCTTTCAAATTGTTTTTTGCAAATTAATGTTTAACATTTGAGGTGTCTTCTTACTTTTAAAAATGGATATGTCTCCGACTGATGTTGCCAGAGCCATTGATTTAATTCAAGATGGACGCTCACAGTATTCGTGGCAAGTGTTTTAATCGTCACAAGAAGTAAAGTACAAGGGGCAACATCAGTCGGAGACATATCCATTTTTAAAAGTAAGAAGACACCTCAAAATTAACACATTAATTTACAAAAAACAATTTCATAGTTTTTAAAAGCCGTATATGACACGTACAATAGGGTGGGCCGAAAAACGTAAAAAAAAAAATATTTGAGATATTTATTTTTGGGTAGCAATAAAAAGTTACCTTATGTTAAAAGTAATTTATTAGAAAAAAATGTAGCGTACTAGCCCATTATTTAAGGGTCCCCCGGGGGCCCAAAATATTTTTTTTGTATGTTTTGACTGGGGTGGGAACAAAAAGTTACCTTATGTTAACAGTAATTCTAGAAAAAAAAATGAGCGTACTAGCCCAATATTTAAGGGTGCCCCGGAGGCCCAAAATATTTATTTTTATCATATTTTAATTGGGGTAACCACAAAAGTTACCTTATATTAACAGTAATTCTAAAAAAAAAAGCGTACTAGCCCAAAATTTAAGGGTGCCCCGGAGGCCCAAAATATATTTTTTGTTCATATTTTAATTGGGGTAACCACAAAAAGTAACCTCATGTTAACAGTATGTTTAGAAAAAAATAGCCATTCTAGCCCAATATTTAAGGGTGCCCTGGGGGGCCTAAATTTGTTTATATATATTTTAATTGAGGTGGCAACAAAAAGTTACCCCATGTATTATTGCATAGACAAACCAAATGCCGGTATCAGTCTAAGTTTTTTTTATTATTTTATTAAGACGCCTTTTGATGAAAAAAATTAGCAACTCTTAGCTTGATTTTATTAAATTTAAAAAAGATTTTGCGTTACTCTAAATTAATTAACACAACCACTATCGAAATAAATAAAGTCTTAAAAGAAGTAAATGCTTGGTCAGTTAATCATAGACTTCAGTTAAATGCCAAAAAGAGTCTTGTAATAAATATTGGTACAGTATATATGATAAATAAAAACAATATAATTTTAATACCGAACATATAAATAATATAGAAATACCTCAGCAAGAAACAGCAAGAAATCTGGGTGTTATTTTTTATACAAACGCCATGTTACAAGACAACTTAGTTTGTGTTATATGAAGCTGAAATTAATATATATTAATTTAAGTATGTTCTAAATTCTAACACCAAGTGCAAAATTGTTTCAACATTAATATACACCCTATTATAGACTATTGCATGCCAGTCTACTACTCATATCATACTGAAACATTTAAAAATAAACTCATGTATTAGATTCATATATTTAGTCGGAAAATTTGACCCAATTACTTCAATCTATTTGGAAAACAAGCATTTAAAAATAATTGATCCTTACAAGCATAATTTTGGAAAATTAGTGCAGAAAGTAAATACCTAATAATTGCCTGAATATCTATTCAACAACTTTATTCAAAGATCTAATAAACACAATCTTGATTTAAGACACAATCTTTTTCAAATACCTAGTCACAAAACTTCAAAATCTAAGGATTCGTTTATAGACCTATCTATAGAACTTTTGAACAATAAAACATTCTTTAACATAATATTTAAATATCCAAACACATTTAATTTAGAGTACAAAAATTTGTTATTAACTGGTGTGATATGAAATTATAGGATTTAGTTTGATTAATATGTAATATGCAGAATAAAATAGATTTAATTTCTTAGTAGGTGGTATGGAAGAACGTCCTTACGAAAGCAGCCTTTTGTGTAATTAATTTTGTGTTTTACGCAATAAAGCATTTTTATTATTATTATTATTATTATTAATTAATTGGATATTTGCTCCTCGAGTTAGACTTGTTGTCATATAGGCCGGTAGAGATGTCCGCGCATCTATATATAACCATTTCTTGCTACCTCACAGCAAATTTTTAATGCAGCTTCTGTTACAAGCTTCACAAACTTTTTCACCGCTTGCGTGTGAAAGGGAAACTTGCCGAACCTTATATAGAAGTCGTCTGCTCGACTTATAAATATTTTTAGTTCTTTTATTTAAAAAAAACATTTCCAAATTTATAAACATTTTTAACCCTAGAATTTGCTAAACCGCCAATTTTTTTACGTTAAACTCTAATATGGGACATTTTTTTGTAAAAATATTGTTAACATAAGGTAACTTTTTGTGGCTACCCCAATTAATATATATAAAAAAAATATTGGGCCCCCGGGGCACCCTTAAATATTGGGCTAGTACGCTAATTTTGTTTCTACAATTCTTGTCAACATAATGTAACTTTTTGTTGCCACCCCAAACAAAATATAAAAAAATAATATTTTGGGCGCCCAGGGGGGGCCTTAAATATTGGGCTAGTACGCTAATTTTTTTTTTACAAATTACTTTTGGCCTAAGGTAAATTTTTTTTGCTACCCGTAAATTGAATTCAAAAAATAATTTTTTCGGCCCACCCTAACGTACAAGTAGGGGATTAGACTGGGCCAAAAAAATCGACTATTTTTTTTTGTAAAGTATATCGAAAATATTGTTTGAGGTGACAAAAAAAATTATGGTGAAAGTTTGAGTCCATAATATTAATATTAAGAGGTCTATCAACGCAATTTTAGATTTTTTTTTCCTGAGCAAGTTTTTGTCTCAGAACTCCCAAATCATTGAGTTTAACAAAATTGACTTGGGAATATTTTTTAAAGAAAATTAAATGCTCTACAAAAAAGGTTTAATTGGAATTTCCCGTCAGATGAACCGTTTTCTTACAATCATGCCTTAAAAATTGGTATAGTTATACAATTTGATCTTTTAACTTTGGAATTTTGTAATTCATGTAAAAATCACTACTCTGAAAAAAAACGATAAATATTCTTATGGGAAATCAAATGCTCTACAAAAAAGTCTTTTTATCATTTTTGGCTAAATTCACTCCATCAAAAGTTATTCAAGTCAAAACGAAATTTTAACCTTGAATAACTTTTGATTGAGTGAATTTAGCCAAAAATGTTGAGAGGATTTATTTGAAAAGCATTTGATTTCCCATAAAAATATTTATCGGTTTTTTATGGGTACTGATTTTTACATGAATTACAAAATTCCAATTTAAAAGATCAAAATGTAAAACTATACCAATTTTTAAGGCATGATTTTAAGGAAACGGTTCATCTGACGGAAAATTTCACTTTAACCTTTTCTGTAGAGCATTTAGTTTTCTTAAAAATATATTTTGGAGTCAATTTTGTTAAACTCAATGGTTTGGGAGTTCTGAGACAAAAACTTGCTGAGGAAAAAAAAATTAAAATTGTTATGATAGACCTCTTAATATTAATATTATGCACTCAAACATTCACAATAATTTTTTTTTGTCACCCCAAACCATATTTTCGATATACATTTCAAAAAAAAATTGTCTATTTTTTTGGCCCAGTCTAAGGGGATATCCCATATCATATGATTCAGTAAAACTGTCACTATAATCCTCCTTAGGCTATGGATGAACCATACCAACTTTAGTTCTTCGTACAGAAAAAATATTGGAAATTGTGAAAATCCACATTTTCCACAAAATAAATATATCAAGGTGAACCAAAAACAAAAGTGTTAAAAATAGATGTAATAAATAAAACTTAACTTAACTACAGAATGTCTTAAACTTATGGTAAAAACCACCTTTTTGTTTAAACCTGTATATTATAAAGGTACGTCTATTTTTTAGTAATTTTTAAAATGTGAGAGATTCTACATTCATTTATCTACAATATTCTTTATCCTTTTTTAATATTTGTTTAAATCCGAAATCAAATAAAAGTCATTTACGATTGAAATTGATCGAAAATTTGTGTGGATCAATTATTTTGCCTGTGAGTGTATTTACTTTGATTCAAGTGCTCTTAATAAAAATGCAATAATTCTTTCTTTGTGCTGTAACACTTAATATTTTAGTTAAAAAAAAAAAGAGAAGTATTAATGATGATTGGATGTGCAGATCACAAGTTGCAAACTTTTTTAATGAAAAATACCCAGATTTACCACCACTTTTTCAGGCAACTGTGTCTAAATAAAATTCATTCACAATTTTGTGAATATGGACACGTTAAACCATTACGCAGGACGCCTCATTTTATTGATGGAAATGTAAAGTCAATATTTTATTAATGAAAACGACGTTAGTCATTACAGTGTTTTAAGATGTGTACAACATGTACAAGAATTAATTGACGGTGATTCTGATAGAAGATTGCAATTTTGCTAGAAACTGCTAGATATGTTAAACCAGAATGTTATTTCTTTGGCTGATGAATCAACATTTCTTTTAAATGGCAAAGTAGCAGATACTGGGCAGAAAAAAACCCCACAGAAAATCAACGTTTGAGCAAGTATTGTTGGTAATCATGTTGTGGGACCTAAAAAAAATAGCTATTTTCGTTAAAAATCCTAACGGTGCAAGATATCTGGAAATGCTAAGAGAACAAGTTGTCCCCACTTTAGCAAAGTTGTTTTCAAATCCATTGGAACTTAATCTTCACAATAAAAGGATATGGCTTTAACAAGACGGTGAACCACCCCTTTATGCTCTTCCTTGAGAATGCCCAGCAAGATCACCAGATATAAAACCTCCAGACTTTTTTTTTTGGGACATCTAAAAAACAGGTTGTAAAACACAACATGCTAAGTTAGATGAACCAAGAAACATAATGTTTACCAAACCCTACTTATAAGGTATCGTCGTACTCAAAAAAATGTGCTCTATCAATTTTAAATAAAAAAGGGGGGTTGTTTTTTTAAGATAAATGTGCTTAATGTGGTGGAGAGGAAATGGTTGGGGCAAAAAATTTAAAATTATAAGATTTTAAATGAAAAACTATGTAAAAACCACACCTTATAATAAAGTAAGTAGATACCCACATTATTCCTAAGTAGTCCGGTCAATCTAGACATTCGAAGGTACATAAATTTACAACAAGCTGAAAATCAGTAAACTTGTTCAGAATATAATTATAAATAAAATTTTAAAGTTCCCCATAATTCCCCTGTATGGAAAATTTTTTATTCAAGGTCAAAGGTCAAAAAAATGATTTTTCGCGATTTTCGGCAAAACGATAAATTTTATCATAAAATACCCCAGACAAATATTGTATATCATAAAATTATCTATAAAAAATGTATCAATACTTTCGTCATAATGTGCACACGTTTCCACGCCACCTATTAGGTAGTGTACTTAGCGCGTTTTTTAACGTGGTTTCCCCAGTAGCCTATTCCACGGGTCAGTTGTGATCCTGTTTAATTTGAAACTATTGCAAAATAACGGAAATTAGCAATGATTGGAAAAGATAAAAGCGATGTAAATTAAAAAAAAGTACTGAAGTTAATTAGTCTGATTCGTAACATTTAAATTCTTCTTCTTATTCTTCTACTTGTTCTTGTTCTTCTTCTTCTTCATCTTTATCCTGGGTACAAGTAAATTGCGTCAGTAGCGATGTATCGCATGTCACCTCGTTGGAAATAAATGAATCCTCCACTGTTGGTGATTCAACATTAGAGCACGACCGGCCTTGACAATTCGTACATACCAGAGAATAAAACAGTCCGACTTTTTTGCAACCACATTTAGCACTGCATCCCTTTTTGCAGTTGCAAAAAATTGTGTTTAGCATTTTTTCCGGCGCAGGTGGGAGTAAAGTTTGAACTGGTTATAATGGGTTGTTGACCAACTTCCAACCCCAGTCTGTAGGGTCTAGCTGATAACCAAGCCACACTTGAACTTGGTAATATACCCGAAAAATATTTTGATTAGCAGCAGGTTGGAGGAAGACAAGCTAATTGAACTTGTTTTTTATTTTAGTATTTTTAACGAAACATGCATATCGACACTTATCAAAGCAGGTAGTTTTTTTAGGAGCTCCGTATATAGAAAGAAGAAATCGAATGCCGTTGGTGATAACTTCTTGTCCCGAAGCACCTTTTCCTCGAGTTTGGCCGAAAAATCTCTGCTCGTTCGAAAGTTAAGCGAAGACAACGGAACGTGCCAAATTTGACGGAAAAATCGAAAAAAAGTGGACTTGGGCCTTTTCAACACTGGGTAAAAGACCAAAGTTTGACATACTAACAGATGAGCTTTATCGAATGAAAACTAATTGACCAGAAACCCGTTTAATTTTTGTTGTGAATTTAAAAAAGTTAACCAATTAAAATCCCCGAAATCAAATCGATAAGGTGGCAAATGACAGGTGGCATTTCACAATGTCAAATGACAGGTGACAGATGACAGATGAGAGGTGACAGATGACAGGTGACAGATGACAGATGTCAAGTTGACAGATGACAAATCATCTGTCATCTGTCACAGATGTTGTCTCGATGGCGTATAAATTAATTAATTTATACCCAGTCCCTTAAGGGACTGGGTTTTATTTCACTTGATATTCTTATAGTTATAACTTATGTAGGTATATTTTATATTTTAAGTGTAAGTGAAAATGACCGATAGAAAAATATATTAACATATATTAAAACTCTAGAGATGTATATACGTGACGTACTCATGTATATTATGACGATTACAACTTTTACAACTTTTCGAATCGTTATAACGATATATATCTCAGAAACGGTGGCTCTTAGGAAAAAAAGTATCGATATATTTTTTATAGACAATTTTATGATCTACAATTTTTGTCAGAAATATTTTTGTGATAAAACTTCCCGTTTTGCTAAAAATCGCGAAAAACTAATTTTTTTGACCTTTGACCTTGAATAAAATTTTTTCCATACAGGGGAATGATGGGGAACTTTAAAATTTTATTTATAATTATATTCTGAACAATTTTACTGATTTTCAGCCTGTTGTAAATTTATGTACCTTCACTGTTATTTTTTGGTCTAATTTGACCGGACTAAAGATAACTCGACGTTTATTTCGTTTAAAATAGGATATAAATATATAAGGGTGTGCCAAAAAAAGGCGGTAGTTTTTTTTCGCTCTCACATGAAAACTCCAAAGAAAACGTCAAAATAAAAGCTCTGTCTAAATCAAAACATTAATTTTAAAAGGTGCATCATCGAGTTTTAAATTTTACCATAGGAATAACAGAAAAATATATTTTTTTTCGTTTTTTCTTCCTATATTCTATGTAGCCACTTTTTTTCATGATTTTGTCTAACTTATATTTTTTTAGTAGTGTGTGGATTTATGAATAAATAAAATAAATATTTAAATAGGTACAATAGGTATCTTTTGTTGAAATACACTTACACTTCTTGTTTTTATTTGTAGGTACTTCTTAGGATAGTAACATTACAAGTTTAACATTAAAATACATTTTTGCCAATTTATTTAAAAGGGATCCATGACAATTATTGTTGTATTTTGTAACCTTAGCACTTAGGTTTTTGTAACCTTAGCACATAGGCACATAGGTTTTCTATAAACCCTAGATTTATAGATTTATCTAGATTTGTAATGCATGCTATTTGTTTACAGGTGGGTAAGTTACCCAGAGTTTGTTTCCAAAAAGGCCTATAGCTGATCTATGTTAAAGCAATTCACTTTCCTTACATATTACAGTCTGCAATTAATAATTGCCAATTATTGTTTTAAATATTTAGAAAAAATACAGTGACGCAATTGTTGCAATAGGTATAATCAAACTATTGTTATTGCTAATTTTACTAAGGTTGCTGATAAGAAATAAGTTGCTGATAAGAAATTAAATTAAAAATAACCACAAAGTAATTTGGGTGGGACAAACGTAATAAATTTTCTTAGTTTATTAATCCCTTTGTTTTACTGTAATTAATTAATAAATTTTCAGTAATTATTAATCAGATAGGTACTAATGTTATTTATAGAAGATAAATTCATGGCATAAATTGATGACAAACCAAAGGTTATTCCTGGATAAAACCCCCAACAATTGCAATAAACTTGATTTTAAATTTTATAACATCATTAAAATGTCTCTTAAATACCTGGTTGTGCCACTGCTGAATAGGGAGGAGGTAAATCCCGATTAATATCCATTTTTCCGGTTTTCGTAAGAACTGAACAAAAATAAACAATCACAAGTCTAATTTGACACCAAAATATTTTGACGTTTGGGCAGCGACATCTGTGATTTTAAATCGTTGGTAAGTAAATTTAAAGTTATAGAAGTCTGTAATGGTTTGGTTTGTAAATAGCTTACTAGATGGTGAAGTAGTTTAAAAAGGAGTGAAATTATAGTTATAGCATTGATTACTCAATGGTTATAGTTATAGTTAGTTTGATAAAAGCCATTTTATACACGAGCACGAGCGAGCTTGCGATCGAGTTCTTAAATTAATGAGTGTATAGAAAAGTTTATAAACGAGGTGCATACTATACTTTTTCTACGACAAATGGGTACTTATTATTATCTTAAAATGATTTAAATCAAAAATTTGTATAGAGCGCCATTTATGAAACAATAGGCAGGGCCGGATTTACGAATTTGCCGCCCATGGGCCCAACGCATCATTACCCCGAATAACGAATGACTCAGCGAATAAGCTAGAGTCGCGCCCCACTCGCCTCGTGTACATCGACTGCCGCCCTTCTACGCAGTGACGCACTACGCAGAATAATATTGTAGTCTGATATAAAATTATCTAATGTATTAAAAAACTTCTCTTCCAACTTTGTATAGTTCTAATTAGTGTATAAATCTGAGTGAAAACAAAAATTCTGCATAAAACGCTCTTGATTTTTTAGCAAAATTTTAACTGGCCTTCAAAATTTGCCGCCCCTAAAAATTTGCCGCCCTGGGCCCGGGCCCATGTGGCCCATGCCTAAATCCGGCCCTGACAATAGGGGAATCTGTGTGTCACCGTCAAATGTCAATTTTTTTTATTTTATAAACACAGATTATAAAGGTTATAAATCGAAATGCATTTCTTGAAAATGGACAGTTTTTCACAGTAAAAGTAAAGAAAATGTTTTATGAGCACTTTACAGTGGAGTCCGTGCCCGAATTTTCCTATTCCCCTATTGTTTAATAGATGGCGCTCTTTACAAATTCACATACTTCACATACTTGTGGAAGTATGTGAATTTTTTATTCAAATCATTTTAAGATAATAATAAGTATTTGTCGTAGAAAAATTATAGTATGCACCTCGTTTATAAACTTTTCTATACACTCTATAATTTAAGCACTCGCTCGCAAGCTCGCTTGTGCCTAAATTAAATTCGTGTATAAAATGGCGTTTATCAAACTTGATACATAATATACTATTATCTACTTCTACATTGATGAGTTGTGACTTTATGACATTTTAGTCACGGGCTGAAGTTAATAACAGTGGCTTTTGGACATTTTAGTCACGGACTGAAGCTAGCTTTATTATAAATTGCAAAAAAGTAAGGTTTAATTCGTAAAATGTCAAATTTTATGAAATAAAATTGGCTTTAAATTCTTATTTCTTTTCGTCGTAGATAAAGCATAGTATATACTACTATGCATATGCAACTCGGGCCTAATAAAACTCGTAACTAAAATGGCTTTTATAAAACTTGATACATAATATACTAATATAGTAATTTATTAATTAAAATACAACGCTTTATTTTTACTACATTAATTGGCACAGCTTAACTAATTTGCTGTCACGGCATACCGTTATTCATTTATCAAAGTATTCAAATATACTACATTAAAAGAGTAAATAAGATTTGTTTGCGAGATTTTTAAAATTTAATTTTATCATCTATATTTTTTGACTTAAGACTACTATATAGGATATTACAATATACCAAGCTAATGGATTTTTATTGAAGATTCTTCAATAAAACGTTAATGAGCAAGGACAATTATTGTCACTGTTCCATTACATAAATTTTATATTGCTGTGGCTGGCACCTTAGAGCATATAATACATGGAAAGCCCCTAATAAGACTTTACAACAAAGCGATTTCGATTTTTTTTACTTTTTTATTTCTTAAATAAAATATCGATAAACGTTTCATTGTTAAGTAAAATTAAATTATCTCTGATAGGTAATGATAATTTAATAATAATAATAATAATAATAATAATAATAATAATAATAATAATAATAATAATAATAATAATAATGAGCCATTCCACGCGTAACGGATACTACAGTTGCCGTGTTTTTATTTACAAAATAATATTGTTCTATTATATTACCAATGTCAAATTTTTATAAATAGTTCTAAACTAAAGCTGTTTAACAAGGTTTTTATTTGTCAAAATTAGGTATCGTGATTGACTGTTTAACTATGATTTCGCGAAAGAATCGAACGATTTTGGGGTATTTTTTTATAACACATCTCAGATTTTTTTTATATTTTAATATTGTGTTTATAAATCTAATTTCACCCTAAATCTAAATTTTTTCTTTTATCTGACCTAAACTTTGGCTCCCAGAGACCATTTAATTTTACCTTTCGCAAAAAGCCATAATTTCATTATATTAGCCTAATTATTTTATTAAAATACTGAATGTTTTGAGATGTGGTCCATAAATGACCCTTATTAGTACCTACAATTCTACCAAAAAAAAAATTAAATTTTTTACATATAGGTGGCGCTGCAATTTTTTCTTCTTCAAAAATAGACGTTTTTTGAAGACCAAAGACTCTCTTAAGCAACAATGCTCAAAAAAAATAAATAGTATACCCGATAATATACATATTCCTTTATAATTTGATATATAAAAATTTACTTGCAAATGATGTTGCCGCCCGTAAAGCCAACTTAAAGTTTTGTTTACCGCATTAAAAAAAATTGAATTACACTTACAACTTTATTCTTATTTATTAACTAAGGAATTCCAGGAGATTACTTTTATTGGTATCAATAACACAGCAAAAAAAAGTTTTATTTTTTCACACCCAGGGGGCGCTGCAGCCTTTTTTTAAAAACTATATAGCATTTCAGATAATATAGTTATGTATTCCTTTATTATAAAGAGTTACCTACGTATTCCTTTATTTATTTAATAGGTTTGTTCTTTATTTTATTTATTATGTTTTTCTTTATTATTATAATAATTATTATTGATATTACTATTTCATTATTATTTTACATATAACAATTTATCTGCAAGATTTGCATATATTAAATAATTGATTCTCAGAATCAGTCTAGAGATTTTAACCAGGGTTATTTATAACTTAAAAGTTACTTAGGCCGCAAAGGAACTACTTTAAAACTGATAAAACTTCAAAAAAAAAATTAATCCGCTTCTGGGCTAATTTCTTCAATTTCTTCCGGCAAATTTTTTAATTTTCTTTTTCTATTTTTGCTTTTGAAGAAAAATAAAATTTGCCATTTACTTCATAATTTTGTAAAGCTGTTGCTATATATTCAGGCGTATATTTAATTTTAGTTTTTTCACCTTCTTCAAAAAGGTTGCCAACAAAATCTTTTTGCTTTTCATTAAAACGTGATTTTTTAATTTTGCGCCTTCCGAACCCTTTTGCATATACTCGAAAAAACGTATTTTTGTCTTCTTCATTTGGGCATATATTAACGGTAGATATTGTTGAACTAGTTGCAGCTAAAACATCTTTTTGTTTTAAAAATTCCATTCTAGCAACATCACCTATAGTTTGTCTAATTTCAGGAAATTTATGATTTTGAAATTTAAGGTGGTTTAGAAGATCATCTTTATGTTCAAAAACCCTACTGCAAAGTAAATTCGTCGAACCTATATTTAATTGCTTTTAAATTATTTAGATTTTCCTTTTGTCGACTCTATGATGTCCAAGGAACTTTCATGTTTACTCCAGAAGAAAATTCAATTCCTAGAATTTTGATTTACTTAAAGAAAATTTATTAACTTTGCGTACCTTTAAAAGCATGATATTTTCCCTCTCCAATTTCAAAATATTCATAATATACAGCACCTCCTGTTTAAAATATTATTTAGTGGTAATTACTAATATTTGGGATGGATATTTTTTTTTTAATTTTGTAAGATTTTTATCAATTTCTATTACACACATTTTACTATTTTTGGGACCCCCATTAAACATAGCTGCATTAATTAATTCAGCCGCATTTGTTACTTTATTATTTTGATTGCTATTTATATATACCTAGATCAACGTTTCTTTTAAAATAGGCAGTTTCTCTATCGGCCTGATCTTTCCCTAAACATTTTAAAAAAAATTTAGTTAAATAAATAATAAAAAATTGTCTACAATAATACCTTTTGTGCCTCGTTAAAATGTATATCCAGAAATTGTATGTGATATTTTTGGCATATATTGTATATTCCTTCTGCTGTGCCATTAGCATGATAGCATCCTAATTTTTAAAAAAAGTTAAATATTTTAAAATAACTATTGAATATAATCTTACCAGCGTTGTCTGATTTAAGGTGTAATTGCTTAATTAAAGGATTGTCATGGCTTGTATGGTCCACAGGTGGAGTTTAAAAGTTGACATTGTTTATATTCACTCATGTTATTTAACTTTAAACTAACTATAAAACGAATAACCACAACTAAATTATATATATATATATATATATATTTAAAAAAAAAATCGGCATGATACAATTTAAGTCACTTTTGTAATAACTGCAAAATTTTAAATGTTATTGTTTACCGTTTGACATTAACTGTCAACTGTTGGGGTAACTTGATTCCCAGCCTATAGGCTTGACTTTAGTTTAATTTTAAAGTACGATAATAAAGAATGCTCTCGAAATATACTAAAATATATTTAAACAAATGGTCATATTACTATTACTATTACTATAGAGTCACTGAAATACTTGTTACCATTTGTAATTAAAATTTCTTTGGTTTTGTTACCTTTTGTCAGCATACAACAATAAAAGCGAAAAAAGGCGTTTATATAACAATATGCGGGTACGTGCACTAGTTATAATTTTAATCGTCCCTACAACAGGCATTAATTATTGCAAATAATTTTTTATATGTCAAATAATAAAAGAATATCTATATTTTCTGATACATTATAAATAATGTCATTACTTTTTTAAGCAATGTTGCTTAAGTAAGTTTATGGTCTTTATAAACGTCTATTTTTGAAAAAAAAGGCTGCAGCGCCCCCTGTATATAAAAAAATAAAACTTTTTTTGTTTCGTTTTAGTTACCAATAAAAGCCATCACCTGGAGTTCCTTAGTTTATAAATAAGGATAGAGTTGAAAGTGTAATTCAATTTTTTTTAATGCGGTAGACCAAACTTTAAGTTGGCTTTACGGGCGGCAACATCATTTGCAAGTAAATTTTTATATGTCGAATTATAAAGAAATATCTATATTATCTGGTACGCTATTTAGTTTTTTTGAGCATTGTTGCTTAAGAGAATTTTTGGTCTTCAAAAAACGTCTATTTTCAAAGAAAAAAAAATTGCAGAGCCACCTGTATGTAAAAAATTAAAACTTTTTTTGACAGAATTGTAGGTCCTAATAGGGGTCATACATGGACTAAATTTCAAATCATTCAGTATTTTAATAAAAAATGTATGCCAAAATAATGGAATTTGGCCTTTTTGTGAAAGGCAAAATTAAATGGTTTCTAGGAGCTAAAGTTTAAGTCAGATGAAAGAAAAATTTTAGATTTAGTGTTAAATTGGATGTATAAACAAAATATTAAAATTAAAAAAAAAATCTGAGATGTGTTGTAAATCGATCGTTCGATTCTTTCGCGAAATCATAGTTAATTCCTTAAAAATTAATAATTTAAAGCGTGACGGGCGGGACTATTGCAAAGTCCCGACCGTTACGCTTTAAATTATTAGTTTTTAAGGAATTAAAGAGTCAACCACGATACCTAATTTTGCCAAATAAAAACCTTGTTAAACAGCTTTAGTTTAGAACTATTTATAAAAATTTGACATTGGTAATATAATAGAACAATATTATTTTGTAAATAAAAACACGGCAACTGTAGTATCCGTTACGCGTGGAATGGCTCTAATAATAATAATAATAATAATAATAATAATAATAATAATAATAATAATAATAATAATAATAATAATAATATTAATAATAATAATAATAAAATAAAATATATTATAATAAAAAATATTATATTATAATAAAAATAAATATAATAAAAAAAAAATAATTAAAAAAAAAAAATAAAAAAAAAAATAATAATAATAATCTGGAAGCATGGGACACCTTCCCATGAGCGGACACCTGTAACCGCAACCAGACGCGTCCCCAGGTGGCGGATAGGGGAAGGCCCGCTGAGTGGCAAGCCAGCCACTTGGTGGGTAGGGGGGAATTTCCCCCCCGCGGACCAACAGGATTGCACGCGAGATTGTCCTGCACTGTAACCCACTGGGAGTACTGAGTACCATGTTTCCGGGAAAGGTTGATGTGAGCTTGCTCTGCCGAGGTGTAAGTTGCAGTGTAGGTCTGAAACCAGCCACTTCGGTCCCTAATCAGGAAGTGCGCATTGGATGTGGAAGTCGGATTCCACATTGCTTCGGGTGAGCCCCTATCCGTCCGAGTATACCGGGATAGGGAAAACGAAGGCTGGGCCTCAGGGAACTGGGGTAAGCTTTTTCTAGAAGAAGCTGAGGGTATACCCGTTCCTAGCTATTTCGGCCCGCCCCTATGCGCACGATGCGCTGGCGAACAAAAGTTATGGGCAAAAAAGATACATTGGAAACACCAAAAAAAAACCTAGAAGATGCGCTTAAATCTTCAAACCAAAACCCGGGTAACTGACGAGATTTTGTCAATGAAAAGGAGGTTATTCCCCGGTTCTTGATAATCTCGAAATGTGAAGGAGACTTTTCAAAGGAAAGTCCCTTTGTTATTTCAAAAACTTTGTTTGGTCTAGTTGGAGAGGTGCGTTTAATAAAAAAAATTAAAGATGGTCTACTAGTGGAAGCTAAAAATGATAAGCAAGCTAAACGACTACAAAGTTTGGTGCGTTTTGGTGAAGCTGATGTGGTGGTCAAAACCCATCAAACATTAAACTACAGTAAAGGTGTCATTTACTGTAGTGACCTACTAAACTGCAGTGTGGAAGAACTTAAGGAGCATCTGCTCGTTGAGGGAATAACAGATATCAAACGAATCCAAACAAAAAAAGATGGCAAACTTATAGATACTCCAACCCACATTATAACATTTAACTCACCTGTCCTTCCAAAGAAAATAAATGCTGCTTTCCATAGATTAGAGGTAAGACCATATATCCCTAACCCGTTAAGATGTTTTAAATGTCAAAAGTTTGGCCACATTACCGATAAATGTGAGTCCAAAGTTCAAATTTGTACTTGTGGACAACCTCCCCATGATGGAACACCCTGCACCCTTCCAATCAAGTGTGTGAACTGCAGCGGAGACCATCCGGCGAGGTCCAGGTCTTGCCCGGTTTATCAGGAAGAAGCTACAATACAAAGAATCAAAACTCTAGACAAAGTAACATATTTTGAGGCTAAACGTCGATACAATATGTCAAAAAATATAAACCTACCCAAAAGCTTCTCGGATGTTGTCAAAACCACTGCACCAGCCGCCAGTAACCTCAAAATAGAGGACATTATAAAAGCCTTAATTCCTGAAATAACGAAGGTTGTTACCTCTATTATTTCAGGCGGGGCTGGCATTTCCGGACCGCAATCACAAACATTTGCTCTACCGTCCAAAAAAACTATATCTCGACATGGTGTGCAGTATGATTCACAATCCAACACTGATTCGGTTGCCGAAAAACGCAAAGCGTCCGAGACAGGGTCAGACACTGAATCATCCATTTTAAATTCTGATGCCGATGTAAGTACAAAAAAAGAAAAGATAAAAAAGAGGGGACCAGGATGGCAAAAGGGACGTAAGCGCAAGCCCCCTCCCTCCTCTCCCCCCGTAACAGATCCCAAAACTAATATTGTGATAACAATTCCTGATATTAACCTGTGATAACCAACTGTGATATTTATACATATATTTTATTTTTACTTTTACTCTATTTTATATTTACCTGAACATATTTTTAGTTATTTACCCACCTGTTTGTACTACGATTTATACACTTATTTATTGAAATATTTATTTATTATAATTACTTTATTTACAATACACTCTCAAAACATCATTTATGGAAAACATACTTCAATGGAATTGTAATGGTATAACTACAAGATATTGCCATTTAAAACTCCTAATAAATAAATATGAATATGCATTTGCCTACAGGAAACACATCTGAAACCTGGTCAACCATATTCCCTAAAGAATTACGAGTTTATTAGGCGAGACGCTGAGGTAAATCAACGAGCGAATGGCGGAGTTGCCATAGGTATCAGAAAAAATATAAAAGCAGACAGAGTCCCTATTAACACAACGTTACAAGCGGTAGCCATTAAGATTAATTTTCCACGTTTGTTGTACGTTTGTAATATATACTTACCACGTTTTGACTGGACACTGGAGGACCTAGAAAATCTTGTTTCTCAGCTTCCTCAACCATGTCTTCTTGTGGGCGATTTTAACGCCCACAATCCTTTATGGGGCTCCGAAACCACAGATGCTCGAGGACGCCTAGTAGAAAACTTATTAGTTCATTCAAATATGATACTCTTAAATAATGGCCAACCTACTTACCTGAATGCGCGTTCCAACAGTTTTTCCCAAATTGACCTTTCAATGTGTACTGCCTCAATGGCACCTCATCTAAAATGGAAGGCCTTAGACAGTCTTTACGATAGCGATCACTTTCCAATAAAAATGGAGTTTAATGTCGTATTTACTCGACATTTTATTCCCACTAAATGGAAAACTGATCAGGCCAACTGGGATATATTTAGAGCCAATCTTTTTACTCCAATGTATCTGGAAGATACACCAGTAAACGATGAGATCGCAATCCTGACGGACCGTCTCGTGGAGGCAGCGATGCAAGGAGTCCCAGTCTCAGAAGGTCACTATATTTCCAAGAAGCAGGTCCCCTGGTGGAACAAAGAAGTCAAGGATGCAATAAAGGAAAAAAAGAAAGCGTTTAATTTTTTGAAAAGACATAAAACTCTTGAAAGCATGATTAGTTTTAAACGTGCAAGAGCCAAAGCCAGACGTACGATTTTAAAACACAAGAGAAGTTCCTGGGAAAATTATGTGGCCAGCATAAACCCCGAAACGCCTATTTCTCTTGTATGGAAAAAAATACAAAAAATGTCTGGGCACAAGCAAGCTGTTAGTGTACCATTTTTAAAAGAGGATGGTGTCAATATTAACGACCAGGAAATAATCGTGGAAAGGCTTGCAGATCACTTTCATAGTGTCAGCAGCTCAATAAACTATGATCCTAACTTTCTGGAACAAAGGGAAGTTGAAGAACCAAATTTCTTTACTCACGAAAATTTAAATTATAACGCACCATTTACTATGGAAGAGCTTGATGTAGCTTTGGCCAGAACAAAGAAAAGCTGTCCTGGACCAGACAACGTGCTGTACGATTTCTGTTCCCAGGCACATGCAGAATTCAAAAATTATATTTTAAAAGCTTTTAATAAAATCTGGTCCAAAAACTTATATCCATTCCAGTGGAGGGAAGCTTCAGTTCTTCCTCTATTAAAAGAAGGTAAGGACCCATCCTTACCTGAATCGTACAGACCAATAAGCCTCACGTCATGTCTAAGTAAACTTCTAGAATCTATGGTTAACAGGCGACTTGTATGGTGTCTCGAAAGCAACAATCATGTTTCACATTACCAGTCGGGATTTCGTGTCGGTAGGTCAGCCCTTGATAATATGATATATCTAGAACAAAATATTCAGGCAGCCTTTAATAAAAGACACCATCTGACAGCCGCCTTCTTTGACATAGATAAGGCCTACGACATGACTTGGAGATTGGGGATCCTACAATACCTTCACCAGTGGGGGTATCGTGGAAACTTACCTTTATTTGTTGAGTCCTTTCTAAAGGAAAGATTTTTTCGTGTTCGTCTTGGAAATGTCTGTTCAGGGCGTCGTCTTCTGGGGAATGGAGTGCCCCAAGGTTCTACCCTGAGTGTTACTCTGTTTTCCATTGCTTTAAATAAAATCTGTGATAATCTAAGTGTTAACGTTAAGCTTAGTGTGTACGTCGATGATATCATGATTTTTATTTCTGGTCCTATAAAATCAAACATAAATAGACAAATGCAAATGGCAATAGATCAGATTGTGCGAGCGGGCGAAGATAGAGGTTTCAAGTTCTCCCCCTCCAAATCAAAAACTATGCATTTTTGCCACTTAAGGACTCCCCATTACCGTCCATTCCTAACCCTAAAGGGAAACCCCTTAAACTGTGTGGAAGAATTAAAATACCTTGGGCTCATTTGGGATGAACGTCTTGCCTGGAAAAAGCATATGGATTATTTAAAGGGAAAAGTCTTAAAAGCCCTTAACTTGATCAAGTGTCTTGCCCATACTAAATGGGGAGCACATAGAGATTCTTTACTTACCTTGTTTAAATCACTGGTTATCTCCAAGCTGGACTACGGATCTGTTGTATATGGGTCCGCTCCAAAGTCCACATTACAACCACTTAATGTGTTACACAATGCGGGAATACGATATGCTGTAGGAGCTTTTCCGACAACACCCATTCATAGTCTTCACGTAGAATCTAGTATTATGTCCCTGGAAAACAGAAGATTGTTTTTGGCACTATCTTACATTGCCAAGTGCAGAAAATGGGGAATTACCAACTTTGTCCACCCTTATCTTATTAATGACGTACCCTTGAGAAATCCTAGGTACACATCATTTATTTCCAAGGCCAGACTGATGGGTGATGAATTGCACCTAAACATGCCGGTCGGCGACTCTTCATTTGTTCCCAATAATCCACCCTGGACTGTTGAATACCTGGACGATCTTCAACGCCTAAAATTGGAAAAGACTCAGGTGACAAAAAATATTAAAGATAGGATTATGGTGAAATGGAGTGAGGAATGGGCAGAAAAGGAGACTTTTTTAAATAATATAACCGACTTGGTAAGTGGATGCAAAACATCTACGTTGAGCCGTAAGCGACAAGTTGTTATAACAAGGTTAAGGTTGGGTCACACCAATCTTACCAAATGTTACCTCCTGGAAGGTGCTGAGGTACCTACCTGTGAAGGCTGTGGTGAAGTACTTACGGTGAGACACATTCTTGTCGAATGTCCCTCTTTACATCATAAAAGAATAAACCATAGTATATTCAACGTCCAACTAAAAGAAATGCTTGAATATAATTTAATTCATATTGAACAAGTTCTTAACTTTCTTAGTGAAATTGGATTTTTAAATAAAATTTAAAGTAACATCTGTGATACCAAGTCCCATTTTAGTGTATGTCATTTATCTTTTCGTTAAATCTAGTCAGGAGAGGTTTTTAGCCGGTAAGAGTCCGGCACTACCCAGCGTAATGTTAGGGTGTCCATGAGGATTTTCCTCTCCGGTTATGGTGCCAATGACCGCAGCAGTCGACGCACCTTAATGAAAAAAAAAATAATAATAATAATAAAAATAATAATGTTTATTCATATAATAAAGATTACAGAAAACGTCAGGTACATAGGTAAACAAAGAAAATATTCTACAATAAACAATATAACATTAAAAAATGTATGTCCTGTGTACTTTTTGAACAATTAAGTATTTTTGATTTATTTTTTCAGTTTATTATTAATTAATACCAATAATTTCTTGAAAAGTTTAAAAAGAGTAATCTTTAAATTCATTTGATGTAACAAGTGGCACACAAAATTCGATCATGTACTTCCTGTCAAATATTTCCATGACTTATATTCTCTAAGAGTTCGAAAAGACGCTTCCGGAGGCGGCGCGGCGGTTCGGCTTTAGCCACCGCCTGCTTTTTAATTATAATGAGTTTTAAATTTCTTTTGTGCCTTAATAAAACGGTCTATTATGCGAACACCCGCGCCACCGCGATTAATGAGGCTGACGCCTGGGCTTATTGGACTGAAAAATGATAAATAAAGGATGATAATGGCCGAAAATGAACCAGAAATATTGTCCCTGAGAAATACCGAGATTTTTAAAACGCGTAATTTTAACGCGAAATACTAACTGGAATAAATTCTGTATTTTGAAAACCACTTACTTTTTAAAAAAATCCAAACAGGTAAATTTATAAATTTACCTGGGTAAATTGTGATAAATCTTAAAAATATAAGAAACCACCCTTTGAGGGTGCAACCAACCCTAACTTTTTTTTTTCAAATGCAAAGGTATATCAAGTGATACATCATTTGAAAGCTCTTTTTAATAGGAATTTATACAAATATGCAATTTTCAATTATTTTATTTTGGTACCTTAAAGAAATACATACTTTTTTATATCCACCAAAAACGTTGTATATTCAACCGAAAGAATGTATTTTAGTTCTTTAAAATTAGTTGCAAGTAACGTGTTCTAAATTAACCGTAAAAATGTCTTATTTAACTGAAACTTTGCGTATTAAGATTCTAATCATTGAGTAAAGTTCTACTCAATGTTCTAATGATGATTGGATTTGGTGATAGACGTCGAAATCAGACAAAAGTTGCACGATTATTTAACGAAACGCATCCAGAATTGCCTCACATTTGCCAAGGGACTGTTAGTAAAGTAGAAGCAATATATCACGAAAATGGTCATGTAAGAAATATTCCTAGACAACGCCAGCCTATCGTTGAAGACAATACGAAGCTTAATGTACTATTAGCAATCCAAGAAAATCCTGTTACTTCAGCTCGACAAATTGCTCGCGAGAACGATTTGAGCCACACCACTGTAATGAAGTTAC